CCTCTTGAAGAAAGCAATCAAAGATAAAATGGATTGATTGATTGAATGTTGTTTAACATCCCTCTCAAAAATGTTCACTCATATGGAGACACCAATACTTACCGGTGGAGAGTTACAATTTTTTCCTATGCTTGACGCTCAATGTCATTGAGCAGTGAGGTATCTTATTTAGGCCAGTTTCTACCGCGACAAGGGATATCGGTTAAAATACGGTCTCGTCCGAAGGATCTGTCTCCGCCTCCCACTGTGGGATTAGAACCCGCAACATAAGGATCGACTTCTTTTAACGACTCTAGAACAGACGCTCTAACCACTGCGCCACTCGGGCGAAAGGATGAAAATGTTACGTCGTATCATGCTAAGCCGAATAAACTTGTACAGAAAACTCTACTTTGTCTACTGATATCAGCGATAATTATCCGTCCTCTGCTCCAGTATCTCAGAACGGGAAAAGGTTTAACCGTATAAGGAAACTACCTTAACGTTTTGAGGACTTTGAAATTTAAATTTTATTTCCTTGTGAATATGACTGATTGAGTCTGAGTTCTCTGTATCTGAGACTTTAAATTGTAAATGGTTTCTAGCAATTTATTGGACAGTAATTTCTTTCCAGTAATTCAGTGAATCTTTAATTTTGAGATTTGTAAATCTTAGAAAAGGAGGTATTGTAGTGTGTAGATATGATGCAAGGGAAGCAACTCTGAATGTGTGTTGTGTGTTAGAGTTTTTATACAGGAGTAATTTTGCCTATTGTGGGTGATGTGTCAGTATGTATCCGGCACGAGTAGTGCGAGCATGGAGGACTGAGTGGAACCCTATGCCTAATAAAGTTATATAAAAAGGATTTGATTCGGATTATTCTTTAATATCAGAAACAAATAAAATTTAAGCTGCACTATTAATATGATCTCGGTACTATTTTTTGTATTGATTTCGATATTCCTTTTTTGTCTGTAATGCAATAAGTAATTTAAAAAATGTGATTGTAAAGAAAATTTCTTTTGAAAATTCTATCAACATTTATTTCTTTATTTTGTATGTTATCTAATTTTAATTTCAATTGATAAGCCAGTGTACAAAAACATTATCTGAATTTTTATTTATCATCACTCATAAATTGTTGTTTTGAACTTAATTTCGTATTTTAAGTATTTTGAGAGTAAAAAAAAAGACATCAAAATATATATAGGTTTCTTAGTTATTTATTGTCATTATTCGAATTTACAAAAGCCAACCAAGGATATCAATTAGCAAAGTTGCAGATCTGAAATACAGTAGTACGATGGATACCAAGAGAACTCCCACATCTTTGAAATACCCACAGGTTGCGACCTTATACCTATTCAGTCTATCTGCTACGCCATCTATGACGTTAATTATTTTACGAGCGCTTACACGTCCACCAGACCAATATTAAACAGTTTTTGACTGGGTATGAGGGCAACATATGATTTGTTAGACCTGAAGATGAAAATGTTGCTCGGGGCCGCAGACCAAGGGCAACATTTTCACCTTTAGGTCCAACAAATCATACGTTGCCCGAATCCCAGTCTATAACTGTTTTGTTATTCCCTTCCCAGCTCACTAAAGATTGATCAATTTAATCAATACAAGCTATTTTATCAATTATTTTATATGGAAAATTATGGCATCGTCAGTAAATATAAAACATCAAGCTGAGAAAGAACAAAATCAATTATATATCTATTGTATCACAAAAATGATTTATCACAAAACATACTCTTCCCTTCTTCCTTATCTTGCTGTTAGCAACAACTCTTGTTGCTTATAACTTCGGCTATTTTCGCGTCGTCGATATTGAACGATGATTAATTACTTGTGACCTGACAGACGAGTGACGTTGTGGTCTACCAATTCTTATGTAAGACCGGTCAAGATTGAAATTGTTAGACCAATGTAATAAACAGTTCTTTTGTTGGACTTTTTATAATAATATAATAATAAGTAAAATAAATATTTAGAATGATATTTATAAGGGTTTAACAATATAACTTGTCGAGAGTAATATTCTTTGTATATGAATCGTTTTTTCTCAATTCTTTTGCCAACTTCTTTAATGAAGTTTTTGATAACTTTACGCCACAAGCTCTGTGTGCCAAAAATAATGATATTACAGATAAGATTTTAATCTAAAATTCTGGAAATGATGAACAATTCAGTTCATACGAACCTGAAGCACATTTGCAGCTCTGTTCTGCATAATGTTAAATAATAAAGAAGATGTGCGTGTGTATAGAGCATTTATTACAAATGCACTATGAGATTACGGGTTTTACATTTTCAGAATGCAGCAGAAGATATGGCCCAAAATATACCCCACACCTTATGCAAAAGAAAACTAGTACATATTTTTTTTTTCATCAATAACAATTGACACCTTATACAAGAGAAACTAGTACATGTATTTTCTACAATAACAATAAGTATGAAGGATTGAGGGGGTGGAGGTGGGTAAAATTTGTAAACCACATTTTTCGGAGCCAAAAATTATTTTGAAAAGGATACGGCTAATAGCCGTAGCTAAAGGGCGCTTAAATATAAAACATAGAAAATCTCTTCGGGACACATGACTTCACACAAAATAAAAATACACAATTTTATACGTATTTAGATCACGTAAACTCATTTATGTACATAAATACACTTATGTGCTCTTAAATACTTAAACTGGTGAACAATTCGGTTCATTCGAAACTGAAGCACATTTGCAACTCTGTTCTGCACCATGTTAAATAATAAAGAAGGATAATTTATGTGTATGTAGAACATTAATTACAAATGCCAAATGAGATAACAGATTTTACAACTTTAGGATGCAGCGGAAGATGGGGCCCAAAAATTATCCCACAACAGGGACAATGAACTTACAGAGAAGGGTCCTTCGCCCCACCCAAAAATGTGCTTCAATTACTAAGTGTATACAGCCTGATAATGATGCTAATACTTAAAAAACTACTAACAACAGAGATCAACGGAATTCTAAAGATGGATAATAAATGATTCAGTTTTAACATTAATAATTCAAAGGTTGTAAATAAAAAAGTATTAAAATATCCAGCTACATAGCATTGAAACAATTTTTACACTCTTGATGAAATTCTTTTCCTCTTCTACAATCACTCCATTTTTTGGCCTGCTATGTACAAAAAATGAAACATTCAGAAGAGTCAACGATTTCTTTTTCTTGTCCGTTATCCATGTACATGATGTAAAATGAATTTATCTGCACAGCCTGCTACGCATGGGAGGGATTATGGACATTTTTCAAAAGTTCATGCACATATCAATAGTTCTCACAAATTAACCTCCTATTCTTAGTACTTTATGGTTCCACAGTCCATACAAAATTCGAAAGTCATTTTACGTACGTACCAGGAATAGAATTATGGCTTATCTTGACAAAGGCATTTAAATAATTGAAAGTGAAATGAAATAATAAAACAAATCATCCATATGATATTCAACAACGTATATATTCAGTGCCACTTCACCGAATACTTCGTGTACATGTATGTAAGTGTAGTATAAACTGAAGACAGATAAATTATGCAATGTCAAGCTCTCTCATGCATTATTATGTATCTAAAACATAAAATTGACATGTTTTTGAGATTATTGTATTGATTTAAATCTGAAAAGCCTTGTTTATTGGTCAGATTAACAATTGTGCATCTTATATGGTTGTGTCAATGTTGACCAAATCCAAAATATTAATACGTTTATTGTGTGATAAAAAAAGAGCTATGTACATGCGTGTATTGCATTTACATTGACTTTAAGTTAAATAGATTAAGAATTGTAGAAACAGCTGCTGGTTTACAGTAGTTGCTGGCCCATTGTTAAACAGAAATTTCAGTAGATAATTACATGTTTTGATAATGGACTAAAGTTTGAAAAAGTCAATCAACTGTTGACTTAATGATGGATTGTTTTGCCGATAAGCCATGCCAGATTACAGTCTTTGCGAAGTGTGGACTTTGAAGAAGATTGTTGATATTCTTGTTTCATTATCTTATTGTCAGTACCTTGCCTAGTAAAGATAATGTTCATACCATGAGCATGCGCTTGCGTATCATATAAGGTTGCATTGCTAGATAAATAAGGGAAGTTGATAAAAGTTAAAAGTATAGTATTCCTTTTTAGATTTGCACCATAAAACCAATGATTTTAACAGGACAAGTCTCTGGTCTCTAGTTTGGGAAATGTGATATGCATCAAATTTCATAAAGGTTCAACTTTTGGACTTTTTCGAGAAGTAATGACTTTTACAGTCGACAGTTTACTTGTATCATTTGCGGAGGTTCAGAATTGATACTAGATAAGAAAAGTTAGTGGTCATAGGCATGTTATAAGGGGTACTAATGTGTGAATGCCGCGAGTTGAAGGAAGGCTGGTTGTCGTTTTCCTCAAAGATAATTTATAGGTGGTGTGAATGAAAAATATGTAAGTAACGAATATAGTATTCAAGCTTAAAGGTCCATTAAACAATACATGATTGGAGCAAAGCTTACACAGACCTCCAAAACATTAGAGATGGGACCAGGTGTCTTGGTAGAGTTAACGGACCCTGCCGACCCGATAGGTTCTTATTGTCATATGCATGATCGGGAAATAAAGGTCAAATCCGTCTACAATTCTGTGTGAATATAATTGCCTATCAATGAGTATGAAACATGTCAGTGTGCATTGACTTAATGATAACTACTTATCTGTATTCACTGAAATGGTCGTTGTATCGACCGTAGAACTTCGAAATGAGAATGATATCGATTAATGTATGCCTTTATACGAGATTGTCAGCTATTTGTTTGTCAATAATTTACCTCAATTTAGAAATTGTTCATACGTAGAGCATGCTCTCGCGTATCGAATCAAGTGAGAAATATACATGTAAACCCTGCATCCAGATGATAAAGGTATATTGCTGCATAACGCGTTATTTTTGTTGAATTAAATATTTATTTCGTAAAAGAGCCCCAGTGAAAAAGTTTGCCATAAACTGTAAAAGTAAGCGTTCCTCAGAAAAGTCCGTTAAGGTAGTTCTATATAAGACTTTTATCGGCTTCATACGTTTACAGTGATAATTAGCTACCTTCTGTGACAAATTCACATTAAAGGTTGCTATCGTTTTTGCTTTCTGTGGAACTATTTTGTCCATGGGGTTGGGAATTCTGACTACGAATTTTCCTTGTAATCCCTTGATAAGATGTGATAGAGCTGAGGTCCATCACTCTTAATTGACTCACTTGTCCTTTTCTCTGCATGCTTTACTGATAATGGGGATGATACCCGTACGTTTGAGTGCGCACTTGAACTGCTTTTGGGATTTTCACCACAACGCTGTTGTGATGTGTCATCACACGTATCATTAACATCACCATCCTGGATTGTTTCTACCATAAGTGGACTCTGAACAAGAGATTTGGAGTTTAAGATTGTTACGAGTTGACATTATGAAAGGATATCTCATGCAATGACATATCCATATCACTTAACATAAAAAAAATCATAGGTTTTTTTTTTTTAGAATTCTATCAAAACTAAAACAGACTAAAAATTAAAAGAAAAGTGAGAGAATTTTTTTTTCTAAAAAAAACAAACCAGACTGTCTGAAATATGATGATACATGGTTCCCCCCTCTTTCGAATAAACTGCAAAATCCAACTCTGTCTCAGACGACATATTGTCATTTTGTTTTGAATATAACATTATGTCCCCACTTCTGTTAAACGAAAATATAGAAAGTTAAGTATAGATGCTTAGCAAGTTATATGCTAGTATGAAAACTATTAATAAATGAATGATATGGTTGTCTGTTAAATTCTTTATAGATTTGAAGATAAAATTCACTTTGTACATTTAGCAGAGTTACAGTGTTTGAATATTTGAATAACATATGATATCATATCTCTCTGATGAAGTTTTTGGACATCTTTTGAGCTTGAATAAAAAATCATATCAGTTTGTTTCAGAATTTTTTTACAAGTGAATGAAACACGGAACAGGTATTTAAATATTCCCTTTACACTTTTACAGGAAATATAAGTAGAGTTAAACATAATGATTGTCCATGTTCAAATTTGAGTGCTTATGTAAAATTATGAACCAATTTCACATTCAGCTGATCTTAAGTGTACTGGACTTGATTTGTTTCATGTCTAATGCACTTTTGATATTCAACTGATTTGCAAAAAAAGAGAACTGTTTATTAAGCAAATTCTTTGCTGAGACTAGAATGTCCTTATTTATTAATATAAATGCAATGTAGTTACCTTTAAATTATTTCAACGAATCAAATACGCAGCGTTTAAATTATAAATATAGGTAAAAGATGTCTGAATACTAGCAAACCTAACCTGTAATTCTTTTTACATCTATTAAGGCGAAGGCAAGCAAAAGATGTAGATAAGATCCCAAGGAGTAGCCCAGCACCTGCAACTCCAGCTCCAAACAGTAAACATTCCTCCTCTCTGGATAGTTCTGATGTGTCTTTTGCACAAGGATAAGTTAAACAATTAAATGTATAAGCAAGAATTCATACCAAAATAAATATATTTCCAGTCTTTAAGGTAAGATTATAATTGTAAGAAAGAATATAATACTGAAAATCAATGGGAATAATAATAATTTTTAGAACACACCATATCCCTATATCCATAACCAACATACATCTAAACATTAATGTAATTTTGAAAATTGATATATAACCTTTAGTTTGTGTTTGAGAGTGTGAACTTGATGAAAGAGCGCTAACATTATAATATTTTTGAAATGCAAATTAAAAAAAAAAACAAGATGTGTTTGTGAAATACTATGCGCCCGGCGGAACAAAGTTCGAAAAACGCTATTTTTAGCGTCAAGGTCACAGGTCATTGACCTTGGTATCATTTGAAAAAAACTTGATTAGTGGAGTATGCATACCAGATATGAAGTCTCTATCTTTCATGGTTCAAAAATTATGGTTAACGTTCAAAAAAAAAACCCAGTGACTCTAATGAATCAGAAAAGTTATTAAAAGTTATCAGAATAGTGAAAACAATTGAATGAATATATTTCAATATTGCGTTAAGTTATGACACAGAAATAATTCGCTTTCAAAGAACCATAAAAACAACCATGACTAAAATAGTTTTAAGGAATCACTGTCTAGTTAGGAGGGTATGTCAGGGCATCAACAATAGTGGAAAACATGGGATACTTAAGCATAACAGGCTTCTATTTCCATTTTTACTTGAAATAACAATCTTAAAATATATCGGAATACCGTCTAATTTAGTATATTTGAATTGCACAAGGGATTTAATGTTCTTTTTCCATTGCCCCGCCCCTTGACGTCAAATTTTACTATTAAAAAATAGTCCCATAAAACACAAGCCAAATTAAATGATTATTTAGTTACTGTAGCCAAATATCAAAATTCATAAAAAACAACAAAAGAATGTTAAATTATGACCAAGGCAATCTCGTTAAGTTAAATTAGATATGTTACCTAGATTTAGGATGTCGGAAGCACGAAAACGTGTATAGGCCCTAGGACACTTTTCCGCCGCCATATTGAATGCAATGTTACAGTTGGTGAAATAGGAGTTGGTCAACATGGTCAAGAAACAGATTTGTTTGAATGCTAAAATAACAGAAGAAGTTGATTTGCTTAATAAGTCGGATGGTAATGACTGAGGGACGATGTCTGTATCAGATGATAAAGTGCAGATCGATCTATGTACCAGTGGTGATGGCGAATTCTCCATGTGGTTCAAATGGGCTGTTTCCCAAGTTTACGGAAGTGGAGTTCATGGTCTCGCGAGCCCTCGTAGTGGACTTGGTGACTTGCTTTTGATCCGGAGATAATTTATTATTTATTTTGTTGGTAGAAATATATATCATATATAATTACTAAGTAAACAATTAAACAAAACAGCTACTTTTTCTTCAGTGTATTTGATATACGCCAGTTATGTACCATACGTATTCATGCAGGTTGACATTTGACCTTTCATTAGTATTTCAATAGAGAAATTTACATGCCACAGGATTCACGGAAAATAAACAAGACTTACTTTTGTAGTGTTTATCATAGGGAAAACAATTGGAAATGGAAATATTACATCATAACCTCTTTCCATTTGAAGGTTGACACAGATACCAGACTGAGTGTCTATATACTAGAAACTATGAAAATACCAAAGCTAATTACCCGTAGTGACATTGGATATTTCTTTTTGTTCGACAATAGACCAGTTTTTTAATTTACAGTGCTTCATGTAACAGTAGGATGTTGGTACATTGTAAACACCCCACTTATCCTCGAAAACGGCAGGTTTTGAAAATCCTGACATAATAATAGAGTCTTTTTCTAAAAATAAAAACAAGTTAATGCCGTTGTAAAGACGAATAATGACTCCCATCGAATAATGACCGGGGGTCATTTTCGACAGCGAAAAATGACCCCGGGTCAATATTCTACGGCGAAAAATGACCCCCAGTCATTATTTGCCGTCGGAAAATGACCCTTTTGCCCGTAGAAAAAGTGTCACCACCCTAAAAATTTGCAGAACCCACGTGAAGTAAAATGACCCCCGTAGAAAAATGACACCCTGTGGATTTATGCTGAAATTTTTAGGGGGCAATAGAAAAAAATAGGTAAAGAAGCATATTGGCCGAACTGCTCACCTGAGCTAATTGGGAATAAATTGATGATATGTTGATCTCATAACATTATACAATTATAGCTATACTTTAAGGTCAATGCGATGATTCAGAATCTAAAGGAGCAAAAGAATTATCGAGCCTAAAGTGTTAGGTAAACATTGTTTTTCAGTGGTGGAAATCATCGTACTGACAGAAAAAAATCAGCAGTATTATATATTATAATATCCTCCGCTTGAAAAGCAGGAGGGTACGTAGTGATCGGGATGTCCGTCTGTCCGTCTGTTACGCTTTGGGGTATCCATCTCTTATCCGCAACTCCTCTCATATATAAAAAGATGTGATTGTGAAACAGCTATACCCCTGTATGGCAACATAGTGAAGATTAAACTTTTCTTCATACCAATTGTTAGTCCATTATTTATACACTGAATTGACGACGGATTTTTCCGTTATTCCTGATCATGACAAAGAACACACGGTGAGTGTGACCGGTCGGCAGGAGATGCTCACTCCTCCATGGCACCTGATCCCATCTCTGATGTTTCGGGGGTCCGTGTTTGCTCTGCTCTTATTTTGTATTGTTTTATGGACTTTGAGATTGAATACTGTTCGTTATCTCCTTTCCTTCTTAAATGCAATTTAAATATATTGGTACCCAAAGTAGTGTCTTCTCATGCACAAGAAATACAATTGCAAAATAGGGATGCCATAGCACCACTTGTTCAAAAGTAATGGCTAAGGATAAGTTTTTGAAAGGTAGATCAAACGCAAATGTCAAAGGGTCAATGTTGATGGTTTCTTAAGAAAGGTTTAATGTAAGAAGGATTACATATGTGAAGTATGAAAACCCTAGCCCTTACCGTTCAAAAATTATCGCCAAAGTTAAGGTTTTTTTTATAAATACTGAAATCTCCAAGATCAAGGTCAAAAGGTCAAAGTTTGTAGTATCCAATGAAAGGTCATGCCAAAAAAAGTACATATGTGAAGTATGAGAGTACCAGTATCTACCGTTTAAAAGTTATGGCCAAAGTAAAAAAAATTCGCATTTTTGTGTGAAATGGGACATCTCCAAGGTAAAAGTCAAAAGTTTAAATTTGGTGCTACCCAAAGTAAGGTTTTGTCACAAGGAATACACATATTAAATATGAAAGTCATAGCTCCAATGAATGAAAAGTTATGGTCAAGGTTAAAGTTTTTGCGGACAAACAGACTGCCAGATGGACAGACAGACATATAGGCGGACACAATAAAACTATATACCCCCGAATACTCGATTATGGGGACATAAAAAGAAATTGTCTTCAATTAACTTTTCATATTATGATACAGTATAAAGAAGACGTTACAAAAATGAAAATAATTGTTCTGATTTTCATATTAAGGGGCACCGACCCTCTGATATGACAGATAACTCTCAGTCAGAGTACAAAATATGAATACTGCTCACAGTTTTCTTAATCAGAGTTTCCTAATTTAGACCTCTGAGTAGTCAATTCGATGAAATCTGTCATATGATGGAAACATTACTTTCTATTTCTTTTGCAAATCTCATACTAATTGTTTTATTAAATTTAACAATAAAACACTTCAAATAAAATACTTCAAAAGCATTTTAAATTGAATTAGTTGTATTTTTTAAAAGACCATTTTAATAATGGTTTAATGTTTCAAGAACTTAATACAAAATTTTTATAAGTATGACATTTTTCTTCATATGAAGAAATATTAAGAAGAAAGAAAACTCCTCCTCACAGATGTATTTTTTTCTTACAACCACATACAACATTGCAATTTTTTTGACTTAGGAAGCATCGCTTCATGATGTTTTCTGACATGATTTTAATAGGTATTATACTAAATATTATTTTCATATACACCTCATATTTCAAATTAAATGTTATGATAATAAATCGTTACTGTTTCTGTTCTCTATGTTGAAATTTCTTCATATCATGATCTGACATAAACATCATTTCTGAAAAAATAAGCTGCGCTTCTTACATCAAACTATTTTCCATGTGGTTCTAATGTTATTGTTGTTCATGAAAATCAACATTAGAAATATTAAATTTTCTGAGTGAAATTTGATAGCAGAGGGTCGGGACCCCTTAAATTCTGTGAAAAATATACTCAGAACTGAGTAAAAGGGTGGAGTAAAACAAGAATTGAGAAATGTAATGAGTACTGTGTACTAAATCAACAGGTTATGTCTACATGTATAGTTTTTGCATTAGAATGTGTATTTTACACAAGCCCATAGCTTTACAAAGCATATTTTTAGGTGTTATACCCATCCCACCCCCTTACTTATTTAGGAGGAAGTCAATTATCAGCAAAAGCAACCAAAAGCAAAAAAATACCCTACCTTTATTTTTCTATAAGGAGGAATTAAAAATAAGCTTAAAATAATGTACTATTCTACTAATTTTCAACTGTTACTTAGCCACAGTACTTTCAAGTATGCCCCCATCAACATTTAAAGCATACTTTGATCATGGCGAAGTAAATTATGATATGATAGTACTTGTGCAAAGGCCTAACTTCATTTCAATATTTTATCTAGAGCCTTTTTCAGTATTATTGAAAGGTATAGAATTTTATTTATATTTTTGCTTTTCATTTATTATTTTTTTTTTGTTTTGATTTAACATAATGTTCTTTTGGGGGGGGGGAATAAAAATTTCCTCCTCTGTCATTGTCAAATTGGATTTGCAAAACTTATACAAGCTAAAAGTTGAAATGAAGGAAAAATTAATTTTTCTTATTAAAGAGTATTTAAACCTGATTGTTGCATATTTTCCCCTTTCACCAGTTATAAATTTTGTATCACTTTTAGAGGGGGTCATTTTTCAATGGGGGTCAATTTTTTATAGGACTAACATATAAAATTATGACCCCTAGGACTCTTTTTCTACAAAAAATGATTTTTTTTTCTATGGTTGGAGGTCATTTTTTATCGTTGAAAAATGACCCCCCGGTCATTATTCGATGGGGGTCATTATTCGTCTTTACACCGGTCGTAAGAAATATATAAATATCACGCATTTTTCATTTATTCTTTTAACTCTCTTTGTAATGGTTTCTTAGAAAATAATCGTGAAGAAAACTACAATTATATTTTTTATTATCTTTTACCAATATGTTTTTACTTTATCAGTTATATGAAGATAATTACCCTTTTCCCCAATACTTGAACAGTCGACCGACATACAATCTGAAAAAAGAACATAACAAAATGTAAACATTATTTTTGATACCCAAATGTTTAGAAACGTGACCAAAAAACATTATATCAAATTCTCTTTGCAAATATCGAATTCCCCCCTCAAAATATTACCTTGAAAAAACAGTACGTTTGGTTTAGTATAGTCGCAATAATAGTCAATGTTTTTGATATTTTCTCGACAATTCTTATCTTTAATTGATACAGTGTATTTTGTCCTACACAGTGATTGTTTTGTGGTTTTATTTTCTACAATATATCTCTGAACCGATTCCAACTGAATGTCTTGAGAAGAACAAGGAGAAATGTTTTTAATATCCGCTGCTTTGATGTAAATATCTATACCTACAAAAAACCAGAAAGTGAATTCAAATACTTTTTAACACAGATTTATCAATTCCGATCGCGAGGACAATACTCAAAAGCAGCTGTATATTCTTACCTGCATATTTTTTGTTAACTGTTTCATTAGAAATCTCAAAACAAGTATCACTTAAAGTATCTTGATTACTTTCATCAGTATGAAAAAATGAAAAACAACTGAAATGAAAATGATTTTAAATTTATTTTACAAAAAAGCAGTTAAGTATGGAAAACGTTTTAAAAATAACTTCGTATACATGTACCCTTTTATCATAGGGTTAAAATGGTGCACATAACATCTACTATGCTTTTCTGGTTGTCACATGTAATAAACATTATAAACAAAGAGGACTATTAAGGAAAAGTACATGTATGCATTCAAGTTTTTTTTCGATTTATTAATTATATAGATTAAGTAAAAGAGTAAGAAATAAAAGACACACCCCCAGTTAGAAAATGAGAAAAAGGTAAACGTTCAATCAAAGGGGTAAAAATCAAGATCAAGCACCCAATTGTGAAGTGTTATTTTTTGAAAATAAATCTTTAGAAACTTGGTTTTAGTAAATATTTTTTTGCATCGGAAATTAAATTTTCTAGATATGGATGTTTTTGAATATATTTTTAAAAAAATACAAATGGATCTATGATAATTTCGAATCCTGATTTGAATTTTGAAAATTAGTTTAATATTCTAAATTTCTAAACACTCTTATGCTTATCTAAAAGAGTTTTTGAAATAGTTTTAAATTCAAATTAGGTTTGGAATTTGATATTATGGTCATTTGAAGTAAACTTCTAAAAACTCAAACTTTAAAATGTGTTTTGGAAATTTAAAGGTTGAGTGTTTGAATCAAAATTCTAAATTGATAAAAATCTAAAACGTTTGAAAGTTGGCAGTTAATTTTATATAATCAAAAGACGAAAAATATTATTGAATTTCAGATTGGTAAGCGTAAACTTCCTGAAGAAACGGTAAATTAAATACTCAGAAGTTTAAAATACAAAAGTTGTTTTTGGAAATTTGAATTTTGAATATCTCAGATAAAAATTGAAAATATTAAAAATTCTAAAAATTATTTGGCAATTTGAAAATTTAGATTTTATTACTAAACTATTAAATTTCAATATAACAAAAAGTCAGTTAAAGTTTTTCAAATTTTGAAATTTGAATTAATAATTTCTAAAATTCAAAATCACTTTAGAAATTTAAATCGTTAAGTGTTACAAGGGCCATTTTCAAATGTAATCCTAACAGAATTTAAGGGATTCATTGACTTTTACTAATATTTTTCTCTTCTACATTGTACGTGTATAGCTAATTATTTTTTCTGTTAATTATGGTTCTTCTTTGTCACACTCATTTATCTCTATAATTAAAATAACAAAACATGCTCAAAACATGTACCTTGCATCCTGGTATGAGTCAGCTTGAACCAAGCCATTGAAATTTGTTGAAAATAACCAGAAAAAGCCTATGAAAATTTAATTATATAAATCAAAATATTTATATCTATTTTTTCACACTTGGTTTAAACATGGAAGAATTAAGAACTATGTGGACAATAATTTTTCTAATAATGTCATAATTCAACTTTTAAAAAAAGTTTCGCATAAATACATTTTCAAGATATACTTGAGGTTCGAATTTCTTAAACATAATGGGCATAAAAGACATGATACAATAAATAAACTATCTGCATAAAATTGTCCAAATTTTATTTCTAATTTTAAGAACACGAAGTAATAACACATTTTCTTTTTTCAAAATAATGTACTTACTGCAGAATGGAAACATTATACCCATCAATTGTTTTAGTTTTTTAAACGAGAAAGTTTAAAAATTGTATTCTAATACAGAGAATTTGACACGTACTTTATTTATATATCCCCGGCATCAATTTGGTTTCCTGGTACCAATTGTCAAATTACACCCACTTCATATGAATAAGGTAGTTTATTAAATAATGTTAATAATAATAATAAATTGAGTTCATCTCACAATTTGTGTCATTATCAAAGCTCCACCCTTTCATTATAAGATAATGAGTTACATGTAGGTCGGAATTTGTATTATTATTTATCAATCCATACATTGCCGGTATTTAGTCACTATGTTTTGGGGTTGTCTCCCTTTTTCCTATGCATCAAAGAAATTGAAAAGTTGGTGATGAAAGCATCCATTTCATCTTTTTGTATTATGAAATATCCTCCCACCTCATCCTTCAGTTAATTGTGTTTAAGTATACCCTTTCTCCTTTAGTTTGTTACCATTACGTTTACATTGTCTTACTTGATTTAGCTATACCAAATTAATTGACAGTTATTGAATTGTAACAGAGAATTCAATCTTTTTCTGCTGTGAGTTTTTGATTTTGTCTTTTCAGATATTAGCTGTTTAAGGATATTTTAAAATTATCAAGACTGTCTGCTATTTCCGTTTACTAGGACCTTTTGAATGATCTGTGGCTAAATACCAAACGTCACAATGGTCAACTTGGCTAAGTATCAATTCGGGGAGTTCGAAAGAAGACAGTTGACTTTACTTCACAGTGTATGTATTGACCGGTAAATCGTCACTTTCGACTTAACTATATTAAACTGTTGATATTGTTTACTTTTTGTGGTTGATGTTGATATATGTGATTATTGATGTTTATATATGTGATGTTGACTTTGAAAATTATAATTTATATACATTGTAAATCAAAAGCAAACTAGAATAATAAAAAGCTATTTTTTGTTGAAATGTATTAAAAGCACGAAAAAGGTCAATCCAACGTGCAACTTTCCCGTCAGGGAGGGCACGAATTATTGTTGACGCTAGGGTATGCCAGTTTGCCGGCTATTTCACTGTTGTATGTGTAGACCACTGTAGACAATACCTGCCAACTCGAACAAAACATAATTAAATGACTGGCAACTCGTATAAAACATAACAAAATTAAATAGGTATGTTTTTTATATATACATGTTGGTCTTTAATAATCTACATAATTATACATTGCATGTGTACAATTATACGATATTTTTCATGTAGCATTGCAAAGGCTGTTTAGAAAGCTTCCGCAATTCATAGTTACATATGTGACTCACTGAATTCCTTTCCGAAGGTAAGTCAGTGAGCCATTGGTTTCTGCAAAAATATAAGAGGTTTTAATGAATTTGTACTGTAGTTTTGATTGGGTATTACATACATGTGCATGTATATGCAAAATATTCCTTAACATATTTTAAATGAAGAAAGATGATTTGTCATGTGTGAATTGTGTAACAATCTGGTTTTAAATATATATTTTTTTAAAACAAAAACCTAAAAAAAATCCACTATTTTCACATAATCACTTATGCAACAATGTACCTTCATCATCTGCATACGGCGTTTGTATATCTCAGTTGATTCGATACGCAAGAGCATGCTCTACGTACATGTATGAACAATTTTATAAAATGAGGTAAATTACTGACAAAAAGTTGATGAAACAAGAATATCAGCAGTCTCGTTTAAAGTAATCATTTCGTAAATTCTTTGGTCGATGCAATGACCTTGTCCAGCAAATACAACTTATCATTGAGTCAAAAGCTGACTGACGTTTTTCATACTTATTGTTAGTCCATTATTTATACACTGAATTGACAGATTTTTCCGTTAGGCCTATTTCCCGATGATGACAAGGAGCACACGGCGGGTGTGACCCGTCTTCAGGGGATGCTCATTCCTCCATGGCATCTTATCACACCACTGATGTTTAAGAGGTCGGTGTTTGCTCTGCTCTTATTTTGTAATGTTTTTGGACTTTTGATCTTGAATACTGTTCATTATATACATTTGTTCCATTTATAACACAAAAGATGCTTCCCCACAACAGAAAGTTTTCATTTTCTCGTTTTTTTTTATCCCTATATCTGTATCATATATCTTGTTTTCAAAGTGTGATTATCACAAAAAAAGGATGTGAAATGTAATCCCAAATTCAGATCTGATAATAAATGATAAACTATTAAATGACATATAGGAAATGAAAACATTTGGAATAGCAAACCTTTGTTAGTAATTGTGTTGTACCCATAAGTAAATAATGTAGCCAGTTTTTCCAAGCGCCTTTTTTTGTTATAACAATGCGCGATTATTTTAAGGCAACACAGATCAGAATTCGGCGAATTCACACTTTTTCTTAATATGTAACACTGACAAATCGGAAAAAAGTCATGGATAAAACATTTGCTTTCATAAATAGTTCTTTAATGGGGCTTATACTAAAGGAAGCACTATACCATGACGTCATCATATGACCTCTATATATAGAAAAATACGCCTTAATTAAAAAGTAAAAAGTTCAACAATACCCCGGCGATATTCAGTTTCTGTTTTTTTTTTATTACTTATGTAAAATAATCTCTGTTCCATGAAAAGTGCTGCTAGAATCATATTCTCCTATCACAGAAATAATTATTCAACACCTTCCGAAGAAATCTTACCAATATTTTAAGATCTTGTACATAAGATCGAAAAAAATGCACCAAATCCCGTTAACGATACGATTCTAGCAACATTTTCCAAAATCAACAGAATAGGTCATTTCGATAGAAACAAAAATTAAGTTTTAAAGTATGCAACGTAGTGTTGAATATTTTACAAACTGTTTGTTTCAAACGACAACGGAAAGGTTGATCGGGAAGTAAATACACTCTCTGCTTTTATTGTACGAAGATATTGTAGAAAATTAATATATAAGCTTACCTTATTGCAAAGCTTTACTCAGGCATGTATTACACATGATATTCATGCTTAATCCTTTTAAACTCCGAATTTTATGACCCCCCTCCCCCCTTCCAGCTTGAAAAGCGGGAGCGGATATAGTAATTGGTACGTCAGTACATCCGTCCGTCCGTCTATTACGCTTTGGGGTACCCATTTCTTACCCGCAACTCCTGTCATACCACAGAATGAAATTTGAGCTTTTACAGAATCTTTATTATGTATTGCCATTGTGCACTTTCGATTTTAATTTTTGATCTGACACATAATTAGGATTATCCTCATCAGAACATGGACACTGACATAATATTGATATGGGATTGATATACGTTTCACTTTCACTCTGCTTATACTGATCAACAGTTATGACGTCACGGGTTTGGTATTTAACCCCCGTGATAAATACATACATATATTTATACCACCCAGAAACGACCAGATTCTTTCTATGTAAGCTTCTGCAAGTTTCGATTCATTTCTTCGACCTCAAATCAATCCTTAAATGTAGATTTTAAGAAATCGTTATTTCCAAAGTTGTCTATGAGGTCATACATGTAGTGTATAGGCAAGTTGAATAATTGGTTTTAGCCTTAACATACCCACGTGTTCATTTCGTTTTAAAATGATAATAATTATTAATAGATTATGAATTCCTGTTAACTCTGGCATTGCAAACTGAAGTACTGAGTAGTTCAAAATAAATATTTGTTTTTTGACTAAAAAATATTAATTACGGACATGATATATGGTAAAAATATAGAACAGGAAACACAGAGATGTATGTATCTTTTTTTGAAACTGTGTTGTCGCCATTTAAGAGGTACGCGTGCCAATTCTTCCTGCTAGAATTTGATAATTCGGAGTATTTAATGAGAGGAAAAATGTTTTGTTGTGTTTTATTTTCGATAGTGATATAAAGATACAGCTTTATAATGAAAAAATTTAAATTGAATATAAAGTCTTAGATTCATGAATTTTCAATAAATTTTAAAATATATCATAATTACAAAATTAACTGCTGAACAAATCGACAATTTAAGATATTTAATAAAGTAATATAATAAAGTATTGCTAAAAATGTGTACAAGTTTAATTTTGTTTATATCAATAAAATTTCCCAACAAAACATTTAAATTATATTGAAATACATGGAATAAACATCAAGACTTCATTTTCATCTTTATTTATTTTTAATTAAATTTGCTTTCAATGATTCGATGAATAGTTGTAACATTATTTTTTTATATAATTACATAGTAAGTACACGATCAATGAAAACATAATGAGAGAGAGAGAGAGAGAGAGAGAGAGAGAGAGAGAGAGAGAGAGAGAGAGAGCATATAATACATTTTACACTTATACTTTTAAAAGGCATGCACAAACTATCAATGCTTTAGAATATATATAAACTTTGTTTCATTTTCTGTAAATTATGGCAATATTAATTTAAAATTCATTCTTAAATATAAAAAATATGATTTCTTTTCTGAGGGGTTTTAATATTTAAGGAATTTCCTCCGTTTGTGATGTCATAGGTTTTAGCAAAATCGGTAAATAATTTAAATCCATACCCAAAAGAAATTCATTTTCAACGAATGCCTTTCAATAGGTGTAATATAAAATAATCAAACTATTTTTTCTATGCTCCTTATTTGATAGATTATTCAATGGTACATGTATCTTTCAAAAATATTAAGGGTAATAGTTTCTTCTCATCTTCGAATTTATTCTGTATTTTTTAAATTGTACTTGTGATGTAAAATGTTCTCCCCGTTTTCCACAATTCAAGTATGAATGATGTTTACAATTTTGAGCTATACATTCAAGTGGCATGACCTTGAAAACAATGAAAAGGTAGCCACAACCTTTATATTCCGGCACTTATACAGTGCAGTTTAGTTGTCATATCTTTTCTAAACTCCTAGTTTTCATAAAGCTTTTGCTGTATTATACATATATCTTAAAAAGAAACAAATGATTTAGACTCATTATGAAACTTTAAAATATCTGCTTTTTTGTTTTCAAAATTGAAATGTCATATTCTATCTTTTTCAACTTTTTAATCTTTACACAATTTCAAATTTATTAAGTCTACTTGAGAATAAGGAACCTATTTTTTTCTGTGTCCGAACACTATTAAATGGACTTACAAAATGAAGAAATTACAATATTCTACAAAGACTGTGTTATTTAACGTATCTCTGGAGAATTTTTCATTCATATGGAGACGCCACCACTTGCCGATGGAGAGCTTCAAATTTTGTCCTTTAAAGTGGCACTAAGGGCCATTGAGCTGTGAAGATTTTTTGCATGCAAGAACCTACTGCGACACGGGAGCCCAGTTTATACGGTCTCATCCGAAAGACCGGTCTCCAAGTCCCACAGTAAGATTCAAACCCGCGACGTAAGGATCAATCCTTACTTCGAGACTCTAGAGCAGACGCTCTAGCCTCTGCACCACGCTGAAGACCTCTACGAAGACATACATGTAAGTACAAAATTTGAAATATGATTTCAAGACTTATCCACCAGTATCTAGGAATTCAGTTTTCTTTTTCTTGACGAAATACAAAAAATGTTGCGAAACTTACATAATTTCCTTCAAATATTTCAATTAGGTAAACAATAAGACAAAGCAGATGGTAAGGATAACAACTATCACATTGATATAGCATACATATATCTGAGGTAAAAAAAAATTGAGATCATTGAAGAAATTGATATTTTTTAACTACTTTCAATTAAATTTTTCACCGATATGAACTTATTTATTTAAATATTTCAATGCTTCTGTACATGTACTTCTAGAACTTTTAAATTTTATTTTGTCTAAACTTATCAAAAATAATCCATATGTGACTTTAAAACAAGAAAGTCCATATGTAAAATGCACGTCTTCTTTTCATTGCTGTATACATTGGTGATTGAAATAAACTCTAGTTGATGTAAACTATTACATGTACGAACATTTATTCCTGAATATTCCACATAATCCCAGTAATGCTATCATTGCACTAGATATCATATTAATCAGCAACACCGTTCGATCTTATTAATCCGAAAGTAAATAGAGAAATGTTATGAATATGTATTTATTTACTAAGTTCGAGGACAACATGCGTTTTGTCGGACCCAAGAATCAAACTGCTTGCCTGAGATCGTCAGGCCAAAGGCAGATAAACAATTTAGTTTATGGGTCGAAAAAAAACCATTTTCCCCGAGAACACAGTCAATAAATGTTTTGTTTATACTTATTTTTTTCTACAAAAATTTGTCTTGTATATAAATTCCGTGATATGATCTGATTTTGAATTTGATCGAATACTAAGGAATGCGTATGGAATTTAGCTCCGCCAACTGTGTGGCATACATTGTAGCGGTCCAACATCTCATCGACAGGTCAATCAACGATTTTTTCCATACCCACTCAGTAAAACTAAAATGTTAGACATTTTTTCCATTAAGATTTGCATAGGGACAATTTTTTAAAGGTATAACAAACGTTATTAATGTTCAAAGAGAAACCTAAATGATTCTAACAGTGAACTTAATATCACCAGAGTTTCACATATTTATAATGGCAATGTGAATATATAAACAAGCTTGAGATCAACTGTTGCATCCAGTTTTGGAGGACGGGAGAGCCTTTGCTAAGCTGTACGTACCTTCTGACTTGTCAATCTCTATATGTCCTGCAAAGTCGTACAATTCGTTATTTGGCGTTAAATGGGTGTTGTCATTTATATGATTATATGTCTCTTCGATGCATGAATATGGATCATTATTGTATTAAATATTTTTCCGGATTTTTTGAATTTGAATCTGTGATTCACCGACGCAAACGGCTCTTTCGGAATGCTTGTACAATACATTTTGGAGTGCTAAATTGCTTCCATTCTGCAGGATAGGCGTATTGCGATATCTGCTAAATGATTAAAATTATTTATTACGTACATTTTTGTGAGAAAAAGACCTGTAAAATTTTAATGAAACTTACATAAAATACATTGTTTTAAAGGTGAAAAGAAATGCAGCATTCTTTTTTATTTTCCTTGTAAGATGTAAATTCTCAAATCTCTAACTACACTCAAAAACTTTTTATTCACTTACTTCGAACGCTTCCAAATTTTCTTGAAAACAACTGAAGCACAAATTGAAGAGGTTAAGCCAAGAAAATATCCAATAACTCCAGCGATGATAAAGATATCTTCCACTTTATTATAATTGATTATTGCTTAATTAGTAGTAGTTTTAGTATTATTATTATTATTACTAAAGGAGAAAATTCATAACTCAAAATTCCATAAAAATAATAAAATGTATATGAAAACAAATCTTTTATCTTTTTGTTTCTTTGTGTTTTCTTTATTTGTGTCTTCAAAAAATATTTATAAAGTAAAGTTTAATGAAATCCTATATCAAGTAGGTCCAAGAAAGAGTCTGTTGAATTTGTCACAATTTTTATTAAATTCTATTTTGTTAATTATTGTGTACCATAGTCTCATGTTCATTATATAGTCGTTAGAAATAGTTAGTCACGACTTGTACAATTTGTCGACATGTCAGTGTGTAAAAGGCTGTAAAAGTGAGATGTGTTCGCCATAAGTAAAATGTTATTTTACCTGTGTGTTAGAGAGATATTTCCATACATTAGGTCCGAATGTCTAGTGTGTTAGATGTTTTCTTTTGTCGATATAATCGAGAAATTTTTAGACCATTTACAGCGATGAGTTGGAACTGTTTATATTCTTTGCAAGTGTTTTTTTTTTAATTTGCTATAAATTCATTATTCGATAATTTGGTAAAGTATATTGTCTGTGCTTGATAATATACTAGATATATACATAATTTGAATTGTTTACATGACACATTTTTTTTCATGGAGATCATTTTTCTGAAACGTTTACTGTAGGTACTAAATTATCTTATTTTTCTCATAATCTCAGTCTGTAATTTTGACTTTTATACTTTGTTTATTGTATTTCAGTGCTTTTATTTCCTTAATAAATGATGCAAACTTTAACATTTGTCTTGCTGCTTGGTTATACATGTATTACATGTATATAAGACGTTGACAGTTACCTTGCGTCGCACCGGAAGTTACAGGAACTCTTGGCAACGACTGTTTGTATGGATAATTCGAACAGAGCAGTTAAATCTTCCGTCACACTTATACAGAGATCTTCGGATATTTGTACATGGCAAAGAAACATTGACGGGTTGGATTAGTAGATATTTTAGTCGGTGTATTGAAACTTTTCTTCTGTTCGTGATTACTTTGTTGCTTTTTATTTGTATGAGTGGTGTTGGTTTGAGTGGTGTGTATGTGCACGTGTGCAGATTTTTTTTTTCATTTTTTTTGTGCACTTGATATACAGTATTTGTTTACACGTACTATTTACGCTTTTTTCGCTTTTTTTCAAAGCTTGTTTACAGTTACGGAATATTTTCATGCCATTATCGCAAATTGTGACAAAATTAAATCAAAATTGTAATAGTATGCTATCAATACTTTACAATGAATTTTAAGGAAAAGGCTTTATAGTGTTAATTTAAATCAATCTAACAAAAACGCACATGCGTGCCAAAATTCCCATGAACGGTTTTTCGGACCATCGACACATTTCCGTCCCCTCATTTGATATCCATCCATACAGAGACAGTGACCATCAACACATCGTACAGCAGGATCTGCATTAGTGCACTGCGGAGAGCGAAAACATTCCTGACCAACAGATAAATTGCCTAAATAAAAAAAATGGGAGAACTACTTCTAACAAATGTAATTTGATTTATTGAAAAATTTGAAAAAAGGGATTTGTCAAATCGTGCATTCATACCTGGAAGACAGTCTCCACGAAAATTTGAATAACCCTCATCACAATTGCATTGTTTACTAACTGTAAAATTTACACTTCCTGCATATTTGCAGCTTCCAGCATTTTTTGTACCACTGCACTGTTCATTAAATTCACAGCTTTCTCCAAGAAGCAGTGTACCTGTGGTATATAATGAAACTAAACTTACAGATATGACAAAAAATTGAAACAATAGAATTTTGAAACTCGGGTGGTTTCACTATTTTTTAAAGAATTTTTCGTTTTCAGCCATGGTTGTGCAATGCGTCTTCAACCTACATGCACCTGATGCAGGGCCTCCGAAGGTCATCATCAGAACATTTTAACATAAGACTTTTTATTTTATGTAAAGTATTAACTAAATAAAATAAATTTTAACTTTTCTCTTACCAGGTAAGCACTTTTGTTCCTTTAGAAGAAATCCTTCTTGACAGTGACAATATCCATCAACACATCGATCTGCATGTCTTGTACTGGAACACTGTGATGAAAGGTAGCATTCATTTCCTACTGATAAATTACCTGGAATAAAACATGTAAATATAATTTTTTTTCTATCAGAGTGTAAATCTTTTGTATTTCAGTTTAAATACATTTAACTCAACTATTTTAAACCCTTTTTTATTTAATGTTACATATATTTTGAAAATCAGAATATTTCAAACGATTGTTGTATCTATGTATACATGTATATACCCGGAAGACAGAGTCCTAGCACCGGTAGGAAGTTATCGTCGCATTGGCATGATTTCTCTTGGTTAAAGTTTCCAGATAATTCTGAGTTTTACACTTTCCAGCATTTTCGCTTCCAGAACATTGTATACTTAAAGAGCAACTTTCGCCAAGTCGCCTTTTGCCTACAATGATCAAAATTAAAACGAAAGGATTTTCTCCTTCAAGTATTTTACTCGACTCATACAGCTAAATAAAAACATTACTTTTAAAGCAGAAATCATTCATTTGGATGGTATAAATAAAATGCAACATTTCGTTGAAAACAGAAATTTTAATAAACTGCATATTATTTCTAGAAATACCAAGTGTTCAATGTAATTCAAGTTTATACCTAATAATTTTAGAATATAATATAAAGCATAAAATTTGATGGGAAATAAAAAATAATCCTATTAACATTATTTGATTATAACATGGTGTAGGTGCCTCTGTGGTATTCAAAACTGCTGTGGAACTCACATTTTTAAGGATTATATACATTTTGTCAAAATGGATTAAATGTATCAGATCCATGTTAAAAACACGTATTAAAAGATTGAGGGGCAATATGAAAACAATCTATCCTTCAGTATTTAGTAATCCAGAACTAAAAAAAAGAATTAGATAGATTACGTGATCAGTTTTGTATATATATTGAATATCGTAAAGAACCAAAATGAATTTGAAATACCGTATGTACCCTGCATATTAAATTCCAAAACTTCATAAGAATTCTTACAAACAAAGATTCATGGCGGATTTCAGTAAATAATCAACCAAACCTCTTTCTTTACTCCTCACTTATAGTCCATGAGCCAGGCCATGAATATTTCGGTATTTGTACCATCTCGGGTGAATAAATTTCATAGTTAATTTTTGAAGGACATACATCTCTACCTTCAGAAAATGTATGATAGCATTCAATTGATTGTGGCTTTAATGGTGTGTCAGCCGTTTGTATACACCAACCCAACTTGTTCATTTTCTCAGCCGTGTCTTTGAAAGAAAAACGTTGGTTTTTCAATACGCAATTTATATCTTATTTCGAAAGATATTTTCTTGAAAATTCTTTTGAATGCAGACCATGATTTACCCTATTCAATTATCATTCAATATTGCCTCTGAAAAGAGCCGTCTAAATTATATAGGAATATAAATCTACCCTTGGTCATAAAAGTGGAATACATGTATGCAATGTTGAAATTTTGAACAAATTACTACTGTGACAATTTTCACACAAAAAACATATTGCATGGTCATTTTATTTAAAGAATTTCTATCACGTATTAGTATTTCAAAACATTTTGTCAGTAAAAAATAAATATAACTTGATTTTGTGGGCTGTGTCTCACGACCTGCAATGGCGTAACGACCCTTCCCTCCACTAGTCCGGGTAAAAAGAACCCTCTTAAGGGAGATCCCTCTAGGAGAGCACTCTCTACACAAAGCGCTGACGGGTCTCACACCCTGTTGATTGAGGGCTTGCCTACCCATAACGCATGTAAAGAATGTGCACCGGCGGACTCTGCGGAGGAAACCGTCATGGGTCAACGGAGAAGAAGGCAGACACAGCAAGCACCGTGGAATGCTTCGAGCAAGGCACGGCACATATAGCACGTCTTAGTCTTCTGTTGTATCTGTCTTCATCTCCAGACGTCCTAACATCTGTCTTGCCACTGGATCTAGATGGTTGCGGGCGATAGAGTGAGGTCGGCGACGTGCAACCCTTCTTCATTTTATTCAAACTCATAGCGCAAGACAATGAGCATCTTCCATCCCTTCTATCATCCAACCCAAAGCCCTGTGGCGACAGGCGAGCAACGAAGGTGACAGGTGCGGGTTCACTGGAAGTCGGTAGTCGTGGACCTGCACACAGGCGGCACAGACCATATGGTCGCTCTTCACGGACCAGAGCAGCGGTGGAGTTCGGCAGCCCCCTGTGTTACTGAGCAGTCCTCTTTAGGAACGCACTGCTCACCTCCATGACAAGAGGAGCAGATTATAAAAGGTATTCCAAACTTTCCCTAGCCAGTTTTCCGCGGCTGATGTGAACCAAACACATGCGAAATAAAGAGAACAAGAAAAAACAAGGATCAGGACAACGTCATTGTCAGGATGAGAAACAGACAGACAGTTCATCTGTTCACCAAGGCTATGTGCGGCGCGGAGTGCTGGAAAGATCACTGTCTCACAGTCTTTAAACTTCACCACTAAACTTCCGGATCAAACTCAGGATACGTCCTCAAGAGACTAAGGCTTCAAAACGTCTCAACGTTGGTAAGCTCAAGTTGCCTTTACCTCTCTCCGTACTTTGCTGACACCCTGGAAGAACGCCTGAACTCCACCGTGCTGCATGGGGCACAGTTCTTAATACTGTGTACAGTACAGTCTTTGAGTGTCTTGGGCCCTCCACCAAAAATAACACAAAGACTGGTTTGATGAGAACCAACCCGAGATCATGCAGCTTCTTGAGGACAATCATCGCGCTTCCAAGGCTCATAAAGATGATCCCACCTCTACAACCATGAAAGACGCTCTGAGGAACGCTGGCAGCATAGCACAGCAACAACTTCGGGATATGCAGGACTCCTGGACCAAAGCTGACGAGATCCAACTTACGCCGAATCTCATGACAGGCCTAGGAAAAACTTTTACTGTGTACTTGGAGAAGTCTACGGGCCAACTCCATCAGGCTCGTCCCTTCTCCTCAGTGATGACGAGTTAACACTCATCAGAGAGAAGGAAAAGATACTGGACAGGTGAGCGGAACATTTCATTGGTGTTCTGAACCGTCCTTCTACCATCAACGACGAAGCCATCAACCGTCTACCCAGAATCCCATCAAATAGTCACTGGATGCCGTTCCCACATTGGATGAGATCCAGAAAGCAATTAGTCTGTTTTCAACTGGCAATGCACCTGGCCGATATCCCGATACTCCATCCCAGCTGAGATTTAGAAGGAAGGGGGCATGGCTCTAATCGGAAAACTCCATCATCTGCTTGTGCGAGGATCTGCCTGACCAGTCACCTCAACACCCACCGTCCAGGTCATCCCCCTTCCACAACAAAAATGAGACAGGGGTCATCGTCGTCACCGACGGACGAATAACTAAACTAATATATGTGCGTTGGTACTTATCTTTTCATTATACAAATTTTTGAGATACATATAATTGTTGAATAAAAGGGGTAAAAATATGCATTTTTTGTTAGAATCACGGCTAGTAACTCAGTTAATGCTCTTTTAATATGTTCATCATATCTCGGAGTATTCTGGTAAAACTTTCTATCACGGTTGGCAACTGTGTGAAAAACACTTTGCAGGTTGCAAATATAATTAGTTCAAACTACCTAATTTGAGCAAATAAAGGGCAATAACTGTGTCTCCAGCATTAAAGCCACAACTGATTTGATGCTATCATACATTTTCACACTCGTTAGGGGTATACCTTACCAATTATCACTATCAAGTTTATTCACCCAAAATGGTACCGACCACCCCCAGTGGCTCATGGACTATTAGATATCAACAGTTGTGAAGGAGAAACTTCAGGAGTACTGTGCAACAATATATTCAAGAAGTGATTTAAATAAGATATGGATACTTAAAAACTGCAAGGAACTTTTGGACAATTTGAAATCAAAATTTTACAAAAATCAGCAGGTTAATCATGTTAATATTCCCCACGATAAATTAAACTTCAGACTTTTAGATATTATTGACAGCTGCTTTTTCAATAAAAATGGAACTCGTAAATTTACCATGCCATTGCTCATTTACTTAATTATTTTGTAAAAACATTTCGATCATACAGACAAGCACTCTGAAGTTGACTTCAAAAAGATGTTTGAGTTTCTGATTGACAATATCTATGTTGTTTTTGGTGATCAGATCTTCAAACAATTGGTATTCCCATGGTTCCAATTCCGCCCTTTATTAGCACATTTATTCTTGCATTCATATTAAGCAGAAATCGTGCAAAATCTTATGCGTGAAAAGATGAAAACACTTGTTGTGGCCTTCAACTCGACATTTAGATATACCGACTATGTATTGTCAATAAACAATGGTAATTTCCATTCTTATGTCGATACGATATAGTCTGGTGAGCTTGAGATAAAAGATACCATAGAGTCTGACACATCTGTTTCATTTTTGTTGGGGATAATTTACTTGAAAGACGTTAATGGTAATCTAACAACCAAGTTCTATGAAAAACGTGAAAACTTTAACTTTTCTATCGTCAACTTCCCTTACTTGTGCAGCAATATTCCTTCATCACATGCATAGGGAGTTTATATATCTCAGTTGATTCGATACGCAAATGCATGCTCTATGTATGAACAAATTTTAAGATGATGTAAATTATTGACAAACAAGTCGATGAAACAAATTGTTCTCGTTTGAGGTAATGATTTCAAAATTTCTATGGTCGATATAATAACCTTGTCATTTGACCTGTCAAATACAATTTATCCTTGCGTCAAGTGTTGACTGATGTTTTTCATACTAATTGTTAGTCTGTTATTTATACACTGAATTGACGATGGGTTTTCCGTCATTTCCTGATCATGACATGAAGAACACAGAAGGTGTGGCCGGTCGTCAGGGAATGCTCACTCCTCCATGGCATGATCCCACCTCTAATGTTTTGGAGGTCCGTGTTTGCCCTGCTACTATTTTGTATCGTTTTATGGACTTTTGATCTTGCCTACTGTTCGCTATCATCTCCATATGTTTCATAAGTCATAAACTTTTTTTAATGAACATGCTCTCATATATCTGAACAATAATTTCACTAGAACATATATTACGCATTCTTTTTTTCTGACTTTGATGTATGTTTTAAAACAGAAATCATATTATGGTCAAGAACATTTGATTACAAGTTAAATGAAATGCTAATTATATCGGTGCTCAGAATGAAACATAAAGTGGGATATATTTGTAGAGAATAAAAGGATCATTGTCTTTAGTCTACGAACCCTTTAAGCATGTTCCATTCACAAGTTCATAGTTTTGAGAACAGTGGCATACTTTATTCTTTCCATTCATTGAACAATTTCCTGCTCCTCTGGTGGCAGTACATTGCTCACTTACGGTGCACGTCATATTCAAGCTTTTATTTGCTAAAAATATATATATATATAAATATGTTGATAAATAATTTTAAAAAATTAAGAAGCTCTTAAAGTCAGTATTATTCTTTCCATTCATTGAACAATTTCCTGCTCCTCTGGTGGCAGTACATTGCTCACTTACGGTGCACGTCATATTCAAGCTTTTATTTGCTAAAAATATATATATGTATATATAAATATGTTGATAAATAATTTTAAAAAATTAAGAAGCTCTTAAAGTCAGTATTTGGAATGTATTTGTTAAAAAACATAAAAGACGGCTGTGGATGTTGGGTGTCAAGAAAGCGGTCGAAATTGAATCCATTTCCATTTTTATTGCTTTGCAAGAAATACATGTATTATATTGTGCACCTAATTTTTCCCATTTAAATTGTTGCTTAGACATAGAATTTAGAAGGTATGCGTCTATGCTTTAGTGGTACTGAAATTCAATTTACCTTATATGAATGTAGAATGTATATTGCTCTATAGAGCACATGTAATAAGCAACTGAAATTATTAACAATTTTTTTAAGGGTGGTGGGGGTAACTTTGTTTTGTTTTTGAGATTTGACGATAAAGTTTTCACAACCAATTAAGCATTTGAAATAATCAACAGATTAATTGGTGGAAAGGGGGGGGGGTCAGAAATTTAATGATTGGAAAGTGGAAATAAACCCTATAGATAAGTCATAACTTGAATTATCAATTCAACCCTTTGTCAAGAATACAGATAAGAAAATTCATAAAATTCAATAATTTGAAATAATATAATCATTTTTCCCCGAAGATACTTTTATTTTTGTATGATATCTATGTGCGATATTTACGTGATATTTAACAAACACAACAAAACCAGGTAATGGCGAAATATCTTACCTTCTTATATTTAAAATAAGGTGCGTATCTCTGAACAGATTAATAAAGAATCAAATAATGAAGCAATTTAAAGAAGATTGTCATTATTTAGCTTATCGTCAGATTTGATAAAACCTCTTTAAGATAAAAAGAAAATAATTTCGTTTAAATGAAAATTATGCCTGTTTTGTTTTTACTAATAATTGAATCAAAGATTCCACACCATTTTAAAAATGTGCTTAAACGGTTTCATAAATGTATATAGTTAACAAAATTTGATGTGTATTATCTTAATTTTGTATTTGAAAAAAAATTCTTTCGTTTCCAAATATGGCTTTTCAACATCACCTAAATATCTTGGTGTAAAACAAGTGTTAAGAGTTATCTCTCTTTACGTATTGATTTTTCATGTTGGAACTCTTTTGTGTTTTTTGGTAAAATTGTTGCATATAAGCCCGCCATTTGTTAACGTGCTTTTACTTCGACAATTTCTCCATAATTTTGGCCTATCACAGAGTATGTATTTATTTGTAAACACTTAATTATTCTGTCAAATGATTATCTCTATATGTTTATACCTTTTTTAGAGGCCTAAAGCAGTTTTATGTATTTAATTGAAGCTTTCATACTTGAAACTTGTCGTCTGTTGATAATGTAAACATAGCCTTGTTTTAATTTGTACATCTGCCTATGAATTATTTGCTAAGCGATAGATTGATAATGTTACAAGTTATCTGGAATATATTTTAATAGTTTTGATCTAATATTTGTGGTTTAATACTTCTAAATGTCATGCTGCAAAATTTTATTTCTATGGAAGCCATTTAGTGTCATAAATCCTATTTACATTGTTGCTATTATTCATAGTAATTTCTTTCAACTATAGGAAATACCAGTTTAATATGAATGTAAGTTTATTTTGTATGAAATTCAAGTGTTTCATTGTGTCTTTGTTTATATTTCAGTCTTTTACCACAATCACATAATACATTGATGCAACTTAGCCAGAATTGTTGTTGTCAATCTGTGGGTAAACTATCTGTCAGAAGACCAGGGGTCATAGCGACAGAACAGTAAAAGATCTCGTAATCATACAGGCATTCAGCTATGGATCAGCCAGTCAACGAAAACGACATCGTCTCAGTGTCCTCGCAGAGTCGGACTTCCAGACGTTCCTCTTCAAAAAGTGACATGGGGTCGCTTATTGCGCAGGCCAAAGCCAAGTTAGAAGCTGCTAAGGCAAGACTGAGATTCGCAGAAATGGAGTCAGAATTAAAAAGGAAACAGGCGTTACTGGAGCAACAAATGGCCCTCGACGAGGCCAAGGTGAAAAGAGAAAGAGCTGAACTTTCTGTAGATTTAGAACTACTCACTCAACAAAGAGAGACAGCCGCGCTTGAAGCTGAGGCAAATGCTTTCGACCAAGAATCGCAACTTTCAAGGATTTCGCTTCCAAATACAGGAACTCTAGATCCCATCACAAGAACAAAAGCCTATGTGGATGAAGACAATCGTGTGAGAGTACCATATATTCAGGATACACATGAATCAAAGGCAAAGAATGAAAATGACACCTACAGTGCACAACCGTTAGTTGAACCTAACAGGAAGTTGAATCCAGAAGCTTCTTCCTTCATACCAAACCACTCCGTCGCTGGTAATTTCACACGATACCTCCTCAAGAAGGATTTAATGCTCACTCGACTCTCAGCCTTTGATGATCGACCGGAGAGCTACATGACATGGAAAGCTTCATTCAAGACTGTGATGAGTGAACTGGATGTTTCACCTACTGAAGAGCTTGATTTCCTGTTGAAGTGGAGTGGACCAGAGTCTAAGAGGCATGTTTTGAGCATAAAGTCCGCAAACATAAGCAATCCACCACGGGGTCTACAGAGAGCTTGGGAGAGACTAGAAGAACAATACGGATGTGCTGAAATGATTGAGTCATCATAAAAAAGAAGAGTCGAGACATTTCCAAAGTTAACACCTACAGATTCAAAGAAACTGTATGAACTGTCAGACTTAGCATCAGAAATTGAGTCCATTAAGTGTGATGAACGAATGAAAGCTGTGCTCGGATATTATGACTCCTCAACTGGTGTGACACCCATTGTAAACAAATTACCGCACAATCTCCAAGAAAAATGGACATCATCAGCTATCAGATATATGCAGGAGCATCACACTGTGTATCCACCGTTCTCCCATTTTGCGGAATTCCTACGACAACAAAGCAGGATCAGAAATAATCCAAGTTTTCTGTATGAAACATCATTTGTCAGGAAGGACACAAACATGTCAAACTATTATCATAAAAACTCTGTTGTTGTGAAGAAAACTAACACACATCATGAAGCTCAAAACACAGCACCTAGTACCGAGGACATTTCCATGTTTCAAAAGTGCCCGATTCACAATACGGACCATCTTTTGAATAAATGCAGAGCCTTCAGGTTGAAGAGTATTCAGGAAAGGATGAAATTCTTAAAGGAAAAGAAAATATGTTTTCGATGTTGCGCCTCGACTACTCACATTAAGAAAGACTGTAAGGAGATAGTGTCATGCAAAGAATGTAACAGCGGCAGTTATCCTACAGCTTTACATGTTGACACACCATCAGGGACTCTACGTACAGCCGCATCATCTCACAGCGGGGAGGTAATTGACATTACTTCAAAGTGCACGCAGATATGTGGTAGATTTCCTGGAAAATCTTGTGCTAAAATACTGTTAGCTAATGTTCATCTACAAGAGAGTCCTGAAAAACGAATACACGCATACGTCATGTTAGATGACCAGAGTAACCGTACTCTGGCCAGCACGCAACTCTTTGATTCGCTTGGAATTGAGGGACAGGATGTGGAATACATACTTACCTCAGGTGCAGGAAAGGAACGAGCTGCTGGGAGAAGAGCCCATTGTGTAGTGGTGGAATCTTTGGACCACAGCGTCCGTCTCCAACTTCCTGCTGTTACGGAATGTAGTCATCTTCCTAACAATCGCGAGGAAATTCCCACACCGGAGGTAGCTCAGAACTACGCTCATCTACTTGACATCGCTCAGTACATTCCACCCCTGGATGATGGCGCCCAAATTATGCTGTTAATCGGAAGAGATGTCATTCAAGCTCACCATGTTCTGGACCAGCGTATTGGACCAGCTAATGCCCCTTACGCACAGAAACTTCCATTAGGATGGGCCATCATAGGTGAAACCTGTTTAGGTAGCTCTCACTTACCAGAAGAGTTCAATGTCACAAAAACGAACATTCTTGAAAGTGGACGGGGTACCATACTTGAACCTTGTCAGAGTAAATTGTCAGTGTGTGAAAAGCTAGATGTGTGTGACTCCAGTTATGAACCGGACATGGACAAGTTATTCGAGAGATCAGACGATGACGAAAAACCTGGCTTATATGTGAATGACAAAAAATTCTTAGAGATTGTGAGTTCCCAATTCCAAAGGGACAAAGAGGGATTTTGGACCTCACCACTGCCGTTTAAGCCCAATCGTCAAAAGCTACAAAACAACTACGATACAGCGATGAAGAGAGCTAAGAGTTTGGACAGAAGCTTAGAGAAGAATCCCTTGAAAAAGGAGCAATTCTTAGCATTCATGGAGAAGATGTTTCAGAGAGGCCATGCTGAAAGAGCGCCGCCCCGGGCAGAAGGAGATGAGTGCTGGTTTTTGCCTATCTTTGGTGTCTACCACCCTAGGAAGAAAGATCAAGTACGCGTGGTATTTGATTCAGCTGTGAAGCATAATGGTGTTTCACTGAATGACGTTCTGTGTTCCGGTCCAGACTTAACAAATAGTCTATTAGGAGTTTTACTTCGCTTCAGACAGGAACCAGTAGCGATTGTTGCGGACATAGAGCAAATGTTTTACTGCTTTAAGGTCAACGAGGAACACCGCAATTACCTTAGATTTTTATGGCATGAAGGAAACGAATTCCACGAACCGCTTGTTGAATTTCGCATGTGTGTTCATGTTTTTGGTAACACCGCCTCTCCAGCCATAGCGACATATGGCCTCAGATTTGCAGTGAATCAGAGTCAACTTGGTGCAGATGTTAGTAACTTTGTGTGCAAAGACTTTTATGTCGACGATGGACTTAAATCATTACCTACCATTGAACAAGCCATAGACCTACTTCAGAGAACACAGAAAGCACTGAAAAATGAGGGAAACTTGAGACTTCACAAGATAGCCTCAAACCGAGAAGAAGTCATGCAAGCTTTTCCACCTGAGGACCTGTCGAAGGATTTAAAGGACCTGGAGTTTGGTAACGAAATACTGCCAGTCCAGCGTACTCTTGGTGTCTCTTGGAATCTGGAATCAGATGCCTTCTTGTTCCACATTGCAACAGAAGAGCAACAATTCACAAGAAGAGGGGTGCTTTCCACGATCAACTCCATTTTTGATCCTTTAGGTTTCTTGGCCCCCGTCATCATTGATGGTAAATTACTTATGCGCCAATTAGTGGGATGTACAAGTGACTGGGACGAGCCCTTACCTTTGAAGTACTCAGCAACATGGGAATATTGGGTCAACTCTTTGAAAGACTTGCATGGTTTGAGTATTCCTCGCACCTACCTTTCAATGTCATGGACGAGTGCATGCAACAAATCAGTACACATCTTTTCAGATGCCTCGGAACAAGCAGTTGCTGCTGTGGGATACCTTGTAAATCTGAACCAAGAAGGAAGATCAGAAATCGGCTTCATCCTTGGCAAGTCAAAGGTCGCACCGAAGCACGGTCATACCATACCCAGATTAGAGCTTTGTGGCGCAGTAATTGCAGTGGAGATAGCAGAATCAATTGCTACTCATCTAGAACTTCACATCAAAGACTTTACCTTTTACACCGACAGCAAGGTGGTGCTGGGATACATTCAAAATGATACAAGAAGATTTTACACATACGTAGCCAATCGAGTTGCCAGGATTAGAGCTTCCACCCTACTTCAACAGTGGCGCTATGTGTGTACAAGTCAGAACCCAGCAGATCGGCAACCCGGTCCGTAGCAGCTTGTAAGATGCTCAACAATCCTTGGCTAGTAGGACCAGCATTTCTTCTAAACGACCATGTTTCTACAGAGGAAACGCATGAATTACAGAACCCAGATGAGGACAAGGAAGTGAGAAGGGAGATCAAGGCCTTAAAAACCAGTGTGGAGGATGAACCTCATCACCAGCTTGGAACTCATCGTTTCAGTAGATTCTCAAGTTGGAGAAGACTAGTAGAGACTATTGCTCACTTACAACACATAGCCCAGTCAGTTAAAGGATCAGACTGTTCAGGGTGGCACATATGTACCAAGTGGAAAACAGTGGATGCCTTTGAAGCAGCGCAGAAGCATCTACTTGTTGAAGTTCAACAGGAAGCATACGAGAATGAAATTCAGTGTCTCCAAGCAGGGAATTGTCTCCCGAAATCCAGTTCATTAACAAAATTGGCGCCCTTTATTGGTACCGATGGCCTCATGCATGTTGGCGGCAGACTGAAACACTCCAGTTTGACAGAAGCAGAAAAAACATCCTATTCTTGTTCCTGGACGTCACCACATTGCCATACTTATCATCCGTTACTATCATGAGCAGACAAAACACCAAGGTCGACACATCACAGAAGGTTCCGTTCGTTCAGCGGGGTTCTGGATTACAGGAGCTAAGTCATTAGTGTCCTCTATACTGTACAAATGCGTCAAGTGTCGGAAACTTCGAGGAAGTCTTGGTGTTCAAAAGATGGCTGACCTTCCTTCAGACAGACTGGAACCTGGACCGCCATTTACCAATGTTGGAGTGGATTGTTTTGGCCCATGGCAAGTTGTGACTAGAAAGACACGAGGAGGGCAAGCATGCAGCAAAAGATGGTAAGAGATGTTCACGTGTCTGACTATTCGTGCAGTCCACATAGAGATAGTGGAGGAGCTGAGTTCTTCAGCTTTTATTAACGCCTTGAGAAGATTTATGGCAATCAGGGGACCAGTCAAACTTTTCCGATCTGACCGAGGAACGAACTTTGTGGGGTCAACTGACAACCTTGGCATCAACGCTATCAACGTAGAGGACAGCAGTGTGAAGCAATTTTTGTACTCCCAAGGATGTACCTGGCTATTCAACCCGCCCCATGCATCTCACATGGGTGGAGTCTGGGAGAGGGTCATTGGGGTTTCAAGAAGGATTCTAGATTCTCTTCTAACAGATGTTCCAGGGACAGGCCTCACGCATGAACTTCTCTCAACCTTTATGGCCGAAGTGTCCGCCATAATGAACGCAAGACCACTGGTACCTCTCACCACAGACGCAGAAAACCCTGTACCGTTGTCCCCATCACTGCTACTTACGCAGAAACCACAACAAATTACCTCTGTCACAGAAACATTTGATGGTAAAGACCTTTTCCGAAAGGAGTGGAAACGAGTTCAAGCCCTGGCTGACATGTTTTGGCACCGCTGGAAAGCTGAGTATTTACAGACTCTTCAACAGAGGAAGAAATGGCTGGAACCTAAGAGAAACCTGTGTGAAGGTGATGTTGTTTTAGTTAGAAACAAGCAGACAGCAAGGAATGACTGGCCGTTAGGGATCATTCACAAGACCTTCCCATCCTCCGACGGTTTAGTTCGCAAGTGTGAGGTACGCGTAGTACTTGAAGAACAAGCAACCTTGTACACTCGACCTACAGCTGAACTTATATTGCTTCTACCATGTTAGAATGTATCATGTCTTATTAGTGTAAATATGTTAATGTAGTGATGACGTTGTCATCAAGCGGGGAGTGTTCTGTCAAGTGTTAAGAGTTATCTCTCTTTACGTATTGATTTTTCATGTTGGAACTCTTTTGTGTTTTTTGGTAAAATTGTTGCATATAAGCCCGCCATTTGTTAACGTGGTTGGACGCCGCTCAGTTTACTTCGACAATTTCTCCATAATTTTGGCCTATCACAGAGTATGTATTTATTTGTAAACACTTAATTATTCTGTCAAATGATTATCTCTATATGTTTATACCTTTTTTAGAGGCCTAAAGCAGTTTTATGTATAATAATTGAAGCTTTCATACTTGAAACTTGTCGTCTGTTGATAATGTAAACATAGCCTTGTTTTAATTTGTACATCTGCCTATGAATTATTTGCTAAGCGATAGATTGATAATGTTACAAGTTATCTGGAATATATTTTTATAGTTTTGATCTAATATTTGTGGTTTAATACTTCTAAATGTCATGCTGCAAAATTTTATTTCTATGGAAGCCATTTAGTGTCATAAGTCCTTTTTACATTGTTGCTATTATTCATAGTAATTTCTTTCAACTATATGAAATACCAGTTTAATATGAATGTAAGTTTATTTTGTATGAAATTCAAGTGTTTCATTGTATCTTTGTTTATATTTCAGTCTTTTACCACAATCACATAATACATTGATGCAACTTAGCCAGAATTGTTGTTGTCAATCTGTGGGTAAACTATCTGTCAGAAGACCACGGGTCATAGCGACAGAACATTAAGGAAAAGACGGATTGTTTTAGCTGCATTTTCTTCCGTGAAACGTGCGGGTTTAAAAAGCCTATGATATCCAATATCCATAATCACAGATCCGAGCCCATATTCAGGTGACGAAGAGTCTAAAATTGGATGTTCCTTGGCCTTTTCAAAAAGACTATTTAAAAGTTTCAACGGGACAGAGTAAAGTTTTGTTCGAATATGATGTAGACCTAACTGTTGATTTACGTAAGGTTGTAATGATTTAAAAGAGACGTCATGTATTGCAGGTTTATGGTACGAACAATGTCCATGACTACGCTTACGTCTCTGAGTATTGTTAAAAAGTCCCATCACATTTACATTTGTTGAATTATATTTATATTATATTTATTGAAATAACGTCATGTCGACAAGATCCTTGCGATCAGTGATTGTTTATAAGCTGTTAAGTAGGATTTAACTAGCAATTTTTTTAATTCATTGATAAGATTTAATGGTGTTTATTGTGTAAACAAAGTCTTAAGTTGCAAAATATTTCATTTTCATGTATTATGAAGTATAAAGTTTTTGTGTGATGTCACAATAAACGTTTCCCGTATAAAATAGGGCCCGCCCCTTTTTACTAGCCTGGCCAATGCTGTGTATGATTGACTGTTAGTTTGCTTCAGACGGACAAGAAGAATATTTCGTATTTTGATGTTATTTATTGAATTCATTAGAAATTTTTACCACACTAAAGTTTGAAAGTCAGGAGCTGTTAAAATATCACATTGACAATTTCATGTTGATAAAAAATACTTTTCGGTTTTCCTTTTTGTTTTAATCATATTTTATTCCTCACGATATGTTTTACGAATCTACTTGTTTTATTGACCAGTGACACGTTTTGGACTCTTGATATGTTATTTCAAGAAGACATAAACAGTCAAAAAATCATTTCATATATTGAATTATTTCTACTCTTGATTCCTTTACTCCTTTTACTTAATGTCAACACCTGTCTCACATCTCAATCAATCCAACTCGTCAGGACTCTGAGTCCGGAGCCCACCTCAATCAATCCGACTCGTCAGGACTCTGAGTCCGGAGCCCACCTCAATCAATCCAACTCGTCAGGACTCTGAGTCCGGAGCCCACCTCAATCAATCCAACTCGTCAGGACTCTGAGTCCGGAGCCCACCTCAATCAATCCGACTCGTCAGGTCTCTGAGTCCGGAGCCCACCTCAATCAATCCAACTCGTCAGGACTCTGAGTCCGGAGCCCACCCCAATCAATCCAACTCGTCAGGACTCTGAGTCCGGAGCCCACCTCAATCAATCCGACTCGTCAGGTCTCTGAGTCCGGAGGCCACTCAATCAATCCGTCTCGTCAAGACTCTGAGGTCACCTCAACCAATCCGACTGGATCACATTTAACATGTCTTTTTGTTGATTCAGATAAACTGTGAGCAATTTTGAATATATTCTCATAAAAACGGAACCCTTTTATTCTTTGTTTCATTTTGTCTGGAATTGCATTTTGGTGGATTTTCAAAAAAATGGAACATAATATATACTTTGTTTTTACCTTAACATATAGTTATAAATTTTATTGTTTTAAAAACATTTATTAAAACGTACTGTAACTATCCTATGTGCATTAGAATGTCCTTATGGTGACATTAGATATCACTGGGCGAAAAGGCATGATGGGGAAATAGTATAAAATTGTTATTAACTGCACAAAATGTTTGCGAGTGCGGTTAACAAAACCTTTTAAATTTTATGCATTCTAAATACATTCAACATGATAACAAACAAAAAATACTTTTTAGGATAACATCTCAACTTATTGTCCCTGATCTCGACTCCGACTCTTACAACAATGATTTTGCAGATTAATCTGGCATATCATAATTATGTAAACATGATTTAATATTTTGTTTTTCATGCACTTATTAATATAAAATATAGGTCAGTAAATAAAAGTTTTACGGATTCATAAAATGTTTTTAAAGTGCTTGTGTTAATTTCTTTTACAATTTTGTTAATTCATTATTTTCCCGACAAACCATTGTTGAGGGATTGGTGCATACTTATCACATGACTCGAGACTTAAGACAGGTTTTTTATTTAATTTCTCTCGGGTGATGGTCAATTTTGCTTCGTGCTGTTATACAGTTTTTGTACTTATCTTGAAAGTTTTATTTTTGTTTCAGGATGAAATTTATCCATACTGTAAAATGATAATATTTTGCGCACTACCTATTTTAGCGCCTTAGACGCAAGAGCCTCTAAACGCTCAAATTTATTGTGCGCTAACATATTTCTAAATATTATTTTGAGGGTGTGTGTTCAAAGTTAATAAGTACATGAAACCGGAACGCGCGATTACGCAATGTAGATGTAGAAGAGTCGTTGGATGTTGTATACACACTGGAACTGTACATGATAAGTTCTGCCAAATTATAATTTATTGAAACTTTAATTGTTACTCTGCTAGTTTTTACTCGGTCGATTCTTATCATTAGCACCTTCAAAGTGGTTACAGCGTGTGCTCGAGAGTCGTGAAGTAAGGAGGTGGTCAATACGTTCCGGGTTCTAATGCCACTGTGGGACGTGGAGACCGGTCCTTCGGATGATTCTGTATAAAGCGAGGTCCTATGTCGCAGTAGCTGCTGGCACAAAAAAGATCCCTCCGTGCTCAATGGCTCTGAGTGCTGAGTATAGGACAAAAGTTGCAGCTCTCCACCGGCAAGTGATGGCGTCCCCATATGAGTGAAAAATTCTCGAGAGGGACCTTAAACAATATACAATCAATCAATTAATCAATGCATATGTTATGTCTTTAGTTAATTCCAAGATCGTTTTACTAAAAACTTTATTGCCATAATTTTGGTAAGTTGATTGTAAAATGTATTTGTAAGTTGTTACCGTACCTGCAAATGATAATGTTTCTATGTCTAAATTTACATATTCAAATAGGTTCAATGGCAATCACTATATAAATTCAATCAATACAACTATTAAGATATTGCGTTAATTGGTATAGATACATTTTTAATTATCAGTTAGAGACTGTTTTTTGATAAGTGTTTTGCATGCATCATTTTATTACATAGCTCATGAATAGTCTCTAATAAAACACTACGAAAAATCTAGAGAATTTTAGCATTCAATATCTTGACATTTTATTGAATGCTGAGTTTTTATATCGTGTACGAGTATGCCCGAAACATTCCAAATAGGAACGTTCATTATCGAAAGCCCCGTTATAAATGAAAAAGTCGTCTGGTCAATTTCTCAGAGTTAAATTTAAAAAAGAAACTGTAATCTGGGTAGGATATGTTTATTTTTTGCATAAAGATGACATATTTATTTAAATTTAGTATTTATTAGACCCATTTAAACCTAAATAAGCAAATCATAACGCTCGGTAGGGTCTTCAGAATGATTCGATACTGAACACGTACAGGTCAGGCGTTAATTTGAATATATATATCTATTCTAACAGATGTGCGGAATTGTTTAGCTTTATAAAAAAGGAGTTATTGAACTTATATTGGCCAATATTCACCAATAAAAATCCAATAACCCTATAATATGAATACGAATATTGTTTATATCGCTAAGGTTATAAACTCTGATGTTTGTAGGACCAGTTGTAAAGATAAAGATGATTATTTATTTACTGGATTTAAAAAACCTGATGAACCTTTAACACTGTGTTGTCGTGTGTTTAATACTTTAAATATCTTTTATAAAGTGAACCCTTGTTTTCACCAACATAAATAAGTTCACAAAGATTAGACGACATTTAGTAGACAGCGTCATAGTAATTTAGTTGATGCATAATTTAAAATTTGAACCGAATTAAATCTAGAGTTATCTCTCTTGTCTTAGAGAAGCTGTTTGTGACACATGGAAAACGATGTAAATTAACGTAATGTAAAAGGTTGGAAGCAATTTTTTTTTTAAATAATTGAATAAATACAGTACACGTAAGGAGTTGAATGGAATGTCACAACTTATTATTTTTTTTAATTATACAAGCGTGAATCATTAGGAAAATAGATAACACACACATATATAAACTTGATTATTTTTTCTAAAAAAAAACTATTGATGAAGAAGAGTGATCTATTGCATGTATATATAAGAATACTAGTATCTTATCAATGACATTGTATAAGTTTTGATAATGAAACTGATTAAAACGAATTTTATAAGACTTTCTTCCATTCCTTACAACATTGTGCTATTGCCATTAAAGACAAATCATGTTAAATTAGTCAAAATGAGAAAGGGTGAAAGGAAGGATATGGAGATAGCGAAAAGTATTCAATCCCAAAGTCCATAAAACAATACAAAATAGGAGTAGAGTAAACAGGAACCTCCGAAACATCAGAGTTGGCATAAAATGCCATAGAGGAGTGTGCCGACCGGTGTGTCCTCCTTGTTGGGATCTAACGGGAAAATCCGTCGTCAATTTAGTGTATAAATAATGGACTAACAATTGGTATGAAATTGGTACCTTGTTAGATTACCATTAACGTTGTTAAGTAAAATATCCAAGTATGAAACAGGTGTGTCTCAAGCTCACCAGAATGCATCGTATTTACGTAGGAATAGAAATTACCATCGTCGATATATCTAACTGTTGAGTTGAAAGTCACAGCAAATGTTTTCTTCCTTCACGTATAATATTTTGAAAAAAAATCTGCCTCATATGAATATAAAAACTTTCATTCAGCAGGTTTGTTATCTAAGTAAAGAAAAATGGGTGTTACATTCACTAAATACACGGTCGTCAGATATAAATACTTACAGCGACGATATTTACCAATTTCTATAAATAATTTCGTATTACACGTGCAACTTTGTTGAATGACTTAAGGAAAACAGACATAAACAATATGAAATTCTCTTCGATAAAATAAAATACGAACATTGACATGTACACATTCAAATCTGTTTGAGAATGATTTATTGATTCAATGAAACACAGGGATTAGCATTAATTTAAAGTTATCTA